TTCCGGGAAGAAAATGCGTTTTTCTCGCCATTATGGGGTCACAAAGAACGCATTTTCTTCCATTGGACTGCATGAATAAAAATTAAGCAATTGCTTTTTATTGAAATTTAATATTTTTCATTGTAGAACGTAATAACAGAAACATTATAAAAGAAACATTGCACCTTGGAGAAAAATTGAACAACTTTCTGTCAAGTGTCGAAAGATAATTTCGCAAGCTTTTTCTTACATACCTACTAGAGCCGTTTCAAGTTCTGTTGTTTAAGATTTAGGTTTGGAGATCATACCCAGCACCTTAATAGTTTACCGTTGTATGGTTATCGCTTGCCAAAGTTTGTCCTCGCGGTATTAAGGAAACTCCTTTCAGACAAATCCAGCCCCAAACCCAGAAGTAATTATCTCAGTTAGAAATTCCGATACTAAAGCCGGTCCACACTCTAAGAAGGTAAATCTGTTCGAGAAAAACCTATTATGCTCCCGTCAAGGTCACCCTTCTCAGGTTTCCGCATGCTAGATTATATCCTGGTGCTGCCAAGATAAAAACACTACTTAGCACATGCACAAATTCAAGAAATTGTCTGCTAACGTCGTCCAAGATACTATGAGAGATAACCATTGCTAACAGAATCTTTCAAGAGCATAATGTACTCTCATATCTAGCATATCAGTAAGTACAATTTCTGTTACAGATGATTTAAGGTTGGAAAACATACCTAGCACCCTGATAGTTTTTACCATTGTATCGCAGTCGCTTGCCAGAGTTGGTCTTGGTGGTGACAAGGAAATCATTGTCAGCTATATGTAGCCTTTACCAGGATCAGTTGCCCAAGTTAAAGTGTTGATTGTTAGACCCAGCTCGAGAACTAAGAGAGACAACTTTTTTAAAGAGAAACTCTCCAGCTGCAGAAATAGAAATCTCGCATGAGTTCTTGCATGCTACAGGCAGTCTAACCGCTAATATCCAGTATATGGCTGTCACTTTCCAGAGATTGTCATGACAATTTGTAAGAAAAAAGTTACCAGCAACAGGATTGGCTTCTCCAAGTGGGACTTGAGTGGAACCAGTTCAGGTCTGGTAAAAAGTATCTCAATTAAGGAAATTTTCCCAAAACCAAAAGTGATTTTCTCAAAGGGAAACTATTATTCTGGGGCCCGTCCAGGCTTTTAGAAGATAAAATTGTTTCAGGACAACCTATCCTGTGCCCTTCAAGGTTACTCTTTTAAAGCTGTCGCATGAAAGATAGGGTGCATTCATAAATGCAAAGCATCAGTGTCTTTTAGTTCTAAACCGCATTTGGAGAAAAAGTCTAACTTGCGCAACCTAGTTGAAAACTAGCATCTAACCTAAGTTGCGCACATTTGCAATTGCAATCTACTTAGATTTAGAAATAAAAGAGACTGATGCTTTTTATTTTGACGTTTTGGAATGCAGCCATACTGTCCTGGTGCTGCCAACGTAAACGTACTATACGAAATCTAACTAGCACCTGTAGTGGGATTCACTACGCTATTTTAACTACACTTGTTATCGTTAAGTCAACTAAACGACAAATTTACCGATTTATCGATTCAGTAAACGTTTTGTAACAACACTCGCTAGCGTAAAATCAGCTGTTGTTGTTAAGTACACGTCGTCTAGTTTGGTGTTGCTAGCGAAAATAAAAAGTTCTCCAGTACATAAATAAATAATAAATATTATGAAAATATGTCGTTTGAATACGTCGGTTATAGTTTATCGGAACGTGAGCAGCAGTTAAACGTGTCGGGTGTAAATCGGCGTATGTTGCGAAGTGCGGACAACCCGTTTGAACTGGCTCCAACAGAGTTCCGGAAATTATACAGGCTAGGACCAAACTTGGCAGCCGATCTAGTTCAATGGTTGGAAATACATTTAAAAGGATCTAGAATAACTGCAATATCAGCTGAAAAGCAGGTTCGGCACTAGATATTTCGACTATCGACTGCACGCACATTTCTATTTTGGCTCCGAAAAATAATGAGGAGGCGTACGTTAATTACCATGGCTACCACTCATTGAATGTACAAATGGTAAGCAAATCCTAGTGAAGAACATTATTATTACATAATTACCACCGCGACATATATTTGGTATAGATATGCGACCCAAATTTGAAGATTTTAAACGTAAACGCAAAGTATCCGGGAGCACGACATGACTCCTATATTTGGAGCTCCTCTGCAGTGCGACAAGTCATGCAGCGAGCCTTTGAAAACGGAAACCGCAACATGTTTTTAATCGGTAATTCTTTTTGTTAATTTGTTTTAAAATGTTGTACTAAAAAAAGTTTATCTAAGGTGACTCTGGATATCCGTTAGAGCCATGGCTCATGACGCCTTTACCCAACCAGCCAGAAGGGTCTCCAAAATTTCGCTACAATGAAGCGCTCTGCAAGGCACGGAACCCTATTGAGCGACTTTTTGGCGTCCTTAAAGGAACTTGGCGATGCTTATCGCAACAAAGGGTTCTATTATATGACCCCGCTTTCGCTGGTAAAGTCGTCAACGCGTGTGCAGCTCTTCACAACCTTCGGTTGAGTGAACAGCAAATTAACGACCAGATTTATAATTTTTCTACAGACATTGAGGATTCAGACAGAATTTTCGGAAGCCCAAGTCCATCATCTTCCACTGCAAAACGCATACAAGAAAGATTAATAGCAAACTTTTTTTCTTAAAACTTTCCAAAGAAATTTTTTAACTATATTCCTAAAGAATTTTTAAAAATTAAAGTTTACAATCAAATATTTTTCAGTAGGTATATCATTTATTAAAAATGTAGATATCACCCGCTCTTATCCTCTTAATTTTATATTACAAACTTTAAAAAAAAGTTTTGACCTCTGCCATTTGATCCTCAGTTATTATGTACAATTTCCCCCCTGAATCAAAATATGTGGTCAGATATGAAGAACGTCGAAACGTTTTCGATATATAGCAAAAATTCGGTTAAAGTGCGCTCACTTAATTTAGATTTTTTAGGACGTAGTTGACCAATTTCAATATTTCTTTTTATATTAGTGAAGCTTATTAAAAGAAATTTCGAAATTGGTCAACTGTGACCTAAAAATTTTAAATTAAGTGAGTGGACTTCTTCCAGACCTCAAATAACTGATATTTGGCTATATCTCGATATTTGGATTCAGGGGGGAAATTGCACATAAAAAATTGTGGTCAATTAAAGGAAAACATTTTAATGGATTGTTTATAATAAAGAGGAAAATGAAAACTCAAATAAAAGTTTATTAATACATTTCAAAACATAACCATACGACTTACACGGTGGTATAAATATCATGAGATAGACTTATTATTAATGAGTTTCTTATCAACCACAGCGACTGCATATGTACCCTTGTGGTCGGCTGATTAAGCTAAGTGACATTTTGAATAGTTTTGGCTGTTTTTCATTTGTTTATTTAATGTTTATATTTTTTTTTATAAAAGTTTAACACCTTTCCTAGCGAGCACCACATAAATCCACATTTCAAATTTCGTACAAAGATTATGAAAATTCGACAAACTTTAACATTTGCATCCAAAAATTCTAAACTTTTTATTTAGAATTTTTATAAAATTTTTACGGATGCAGTTTTGTTGCTCATTAAATTCTAGGAGTTAAAGAGCAAACTTCAACACGCTAGAAAATCGCGTACTTCATTAATAAATAACTAAAATTAAGGAGAATATTTTAAACTAAGTGTTAAATAAAAATATTGAATTTAAAAATATTCAGTTACAATTGAAGAGAAAAATAAAATAAATACTAAAAAGTAATCCATTCAGTCTTGAGTTTAAAAATAAGTTATCAATTCAATTTGATTGATAATGGTATTGAGAATATTTATACATAGTTGACAATTGCAATTGGGGCCGGGCCGGCAACGATGCATGTTCGTAATCGAAATAAAATTGACGCAAAATGTAGTGAATATTCGCGAGTTGTCCACAAAGGCTAGAAATTATATTTTCACGTTTTTTTGTTGCAGAATGAACCAAAGTTTTATAAAAAATTAGCGGAAAAATATTAGAATAAAATTGTTTGCAAATATTGTGAAAAATTGTCTGTGACAATACTTTTTTCCAGCAGTGTAAATAAAAGTTTCAAAAATTCACAAATTACACAAAAATTAATCACACTTAAAAAAGTTTCATCAAAATTTCAAACTTTTCAATCAGAGTCTTAAGAAAAATTTTTAATTCTGATGAAAACTTTTTCAAGTTTGATTAATTTTTTTGTAATTTGTGCAATTTTTGAAACTTTTATTTATGTCGTTTCTTTTATAGATTGAATTAAAAATATAATGAGTATTATTAAAAATAAAGAAACAAAATATCATTTTGATTTCTGGTGCTACATCTTTGACTATAGCTGTATGCCAAAAAACTGCTACTAACTTAGCGTAAATTTTATTTCGACTATGAATATGCCCCATTGATTTTAAAAAATTTACTTAAAAAGAAAATGTTTTTTTGTTTTAAGTTGTTTAACGTTAAGGCCTCAGTAATTACACTGGTCTCCCGATAATTGGAACGCGACTTCTTTACAAGTTCTGACAAATTTATTTTTTCTTAATTAGTTTTAATTTATTTAAAAGAAAAACTTGGTCATATTATAACGAAATCCATATAAAACAAAGTTGTAAACCTTGTACAGGATTTATAAAAATTCGGTAAATTTAAATTTTCATAAATACTGTACAAGGTTTACTATTTTGTTTTATATGGATTTCGTTATAATATGACCAAGTTTTTCTTTTAAATAAATTAAAGTTAATTAAGAAAAAAAAATTTGTCAGAACTTAAAAAGAAGTCGCGTTTCTAATTTTCGGGCAACTAGAGTATATAATGTATTATATACTATAGCAAATTAAATAAATGGGACAAATTCATTTTCTTAACCTAATTTTTAACCTAAATTCCAGTAATGATGGAATATCTGTATCAAGGAAATACCATCTTTTAAGTAGATTTAAAAAAAATTATTGGGGACCGAGTGCCCTTGCCAAATTATTTATAGCATCGGCGCAGGCTTTCTGTCCTTCTCCATATACCCGGAGTTCCCCCGCCAGCTGGAATGGTACCTCCACCAGTCTGGAAAAGCTTTCCGCCAGCATCTACGTATTTAAAAAAATTATTAAAAATTGGAGAATCTTCTAATAACAAATTATTTACCTTCATTGCATCGGCTTGCGTTTGTGCAACTTCCAAAAACTTCTTTTCGGTTTCGCTCTGCTCCTCCTCTCTTTTCCTCTTCAGTGCCCTGCGCGGAGTTCTCATTGTAGGCGTTTTTGGAGTCTCCGGCCGCACTTCAGTTTTTACTTGGTCTTCGGACTCCACCGCTTCACCCTGAAAGACTATCTCCTCACCGTCTTCCAGGGCCAATTGAAGCTCCTAATAACAAGAAAGTGGTTAACAATGGGTCACAAATAATCCAGTTAAAACTTACCAAGTCAAATGGTACATTTTCTCCTACCGACTCGTGGCCCTCAATATAGTGGCTTCCAATAATGGCCACCACGCGCTCCTCCAGCTCCGTTAAAGGAGGCTGTTTCACGGGTCTGTTGCCGGTTGACGCCTGCTGCCTTTTCCGGTCTCGCACTCGAACACTAGTCCTACTTTTCAAATCGCGCCAGACCTACATATGAAAGAATGCACAAAAAGTATTATTAAAAATAAACATATAGAATATTCCATAGAATGTATGTGCATACATATGTATGTCCGTACACACAAAGAACGAGACTGTGCGCAGTAGCAATGCATGGGATCGACTCCACTGTTATGCACCACTTGTATGTAGATATGTATATACATATATGTTTGCAATAAAAGCGATATTATTAAGTTAACAACAAATGTTAGTATGTTTTCACAAATCACAGTTTTCCCGCACAGCACCGGTCTTTTCTTAGTGGGCTTATAACTTACCGTACGCCATTGGTCGATGGACTTTTCAGCTCCTCCGACGGCATTTAGCTTGGAAGCCATCTCCTCCCATTTCTTTTCATGTTCCAGCTTGCCATGCAGCCGATGAAACTTACCTCCGGCCAGCCCCGGAGTTTCTTGGAAGAAGTCTATCATTGCACTCAACTGCTCCGTTGAAGCGCGGTTCCGTTTAGTGGCTGCTTGGCTAGTTGAGGCCATCCTAAAATATAAAAAGAAAAAGTAAAAGTAATTAAATTATAAAGCACGATTATTTTTGCTTGAATTCATTACAATACTTACCTTTTCAAGAACAAACTATTAATTTCTTTGATTTTTTTTCAATTTCCTTTTGTGCTTTTCGCAGATTTGACATTTCGGATAACAGAGGTGCCACTTTTTATCAATTTACATAAATAGCGAAAGTCAGCTGTTTAGTGTCGTTAAAGATAAATTAGTGAATCGAACAATTGTTACTGCAAACAACACAAATATTTAACTAACAACTCGTAAAATCGCGTCGTTAAAAGTTAGTGAATTCCACTACTGAACTGGTTACCCAAGTTAAGATACTGCGTGGTAGTGCCAGTCTGGACACTACGAGAGATAACCGTTGTTAACAGAATCTGTTCAGTGTCAGAAGTGATTATCTCTGATTAATTTTATATGCTAGGGCTTGTCCAGTTTTTATTGGGTGAGAGTATTATTAAAAACTTATTAAGCGCCGGAGTAGATTATCTGTGGAAAAGATCTCTATGCCCGAATCTGTTTTGGCACTTTCGAGAAAACCTCAGTTACAGAGATCTAGCCACGGTCTAGACGTGTTATTGTTATTGTTTTTTTTTGCGTTATGTTGATTTTCACGACATTCATACTGGATATCGAAGAAAATTTTCGAACGTTTATTGGGTAATTTTTTAATATAATTGAAAGAACGAAATTTGTATGTAATTTTAGAAAATATTTTACTTAAAACAAGTTTTCAACCAGTCGATACTTTTTGGAGCTCCCGATACTTACTCAGTACTTGTCAAAAAGTATCGAGTTCTCGATATTACTCAGTACTCAAGAAAAGTTACGATATTCAGTACTCGGTACTCGTATCGTCCTATCACTAGCTCCCTTGAAATGCATGTGTTCGGCTCAAAATTTCAGGGCGAGACGATAACGTAACCATGATTGGACGAAGAGTGTGCAGATAGCATTGCTTCCTGCCATCCCTTCGTTGATTTCATTGGAGGCCCGTTGCTTTTTAACATTTCCATTAATTTGCTCTATAACTCCTTTTTCTTCTCGCAGCCATTGCTTACGCACTGCAAACTGTTTTTAGCTAAAGCGTCTTGCTGCTCCATAGATTCTGTCAGCTTCAGTTGAGCAGCGTGCGTTTGTTGACTCCTAAATAAATAAAAAACATTTAAAATTACAGAAAAATTAAAAATGTTCACTTATATTTTAGTTGAGGTTGACAGCTGCGAAACGCAAAACGAGAGCAAAAGTTCTGTCGAACAGTTTCTATCGAATGCTCGATACAGCACGATACTTCGATATACGTTTTTGCTTGATATTGAGTTACAGAAAGCCACCCCTGGTTTGCGTTGTAAATTAAATTCCATGCGAGGACGAGTGTGTTGTGCTAAGCGTGGGTATAATGCATTGCTCACTCCATGTTAGCAGCGCATCGGTCGATCTGCACTGCGGCTGCTGGGCGTCCATGATAATTCAGTCGTTGTCAGAGAACAGCTTTGAGTATGATCGAGCCTTTTTGATCACACTCACTAAAAATCAAGCACAAGCGAACGCCACACTCGGCTACTATGTGTTCGATCGAGATGCATACCCGACAGCTGCTTTGGTTACGAACGTGTGTGTTCGATCACCCTCCCTCACGGTTGCCACTTCCCTAAATTTTTGTGTACCAAAAAGTGTACCAAATCCAAAAAAAAAGTACCAAAATATTTCCTTAAAAACTCATTATTTCGCAAAATGAGACCGTTTATTTAATGACATAAATATATATATACAGGTTGTACATTCTTTTAATATCATTAATAAAAACAAAGAAAATAACAAAATAAATATTATTATTATATTAACATTTCAGTATTTGAGTATTTTTTGCAATTTGCAAAACAATGTTATTATTATTATTTTCCTTAGCAAGAATGAGAATCAAAAAATAAATCAATAAGCGAAAATATCACGTTTGTATAAATATTTCAGTTCGTACACATTCGTACATACATATAATTAAACAAAAAATATAGAAATTCGCATAAAGCGATCGAAAGTCGGCAAACGATATCCACTACATTTTGTGTTATGAGATAATACGGTTTACAGGTGTATTCAGTTACGCATACTACCGTAGATACGAAGGTATGTATATGTAATATTTTAGTATCCTTGAAGAAATGATCTAGTATGCGTAACTGAATGCACCAGAAAACAGTTTTACGTCATAATTCATAACACACAGTACAAACTCACAAGCTACAAGAATTCGTGTGCTGACCAATCTTGATTCAAAGCTATACCACTTCCCGATAGATCTTTTACCAACATGATGCTGTTTAGCGTCTTAAATTCAAGCTTGTTTCTCAGTTTGGGTTTAATCAAGCTCAAATCGAAAAACCTGCGTTCAGCGGCAGCAGAACTATGAGGCAGACTCATTAACTTAAACACGAAATTTGTTAATTCTTGAAATGCATTTTCTCCAACCCCATTTTTTATTATGGATACCTTCTCCCAAAAATCTTCAAGATTTGAGTAGTCTTTGAAATCAGCACACCTAATCCTGAGTAACCGCCACTGTGTTATAATATCATCAGGGTCATCGTCGATTAAATGAGCAAATTCTTTTATTAAAGGTAAAATAGATACGTCTGCTTCAGAAAAAATACTATGCGGAGTTATAATAGCTAAACTTTTGATATCTTGTCTACCGAAATCGAACCGAACTGATATTTGTTTTAGCAATTCAATATAGAAATTACGAATATTCACCTTAATGGAATGCCGTTGATCGTTTGTAAAAACATCGGATTGAATATATTTTTCCGCTTTCGAGCCTATGTGAATTTTATCGACTGAAAGAAAATTTTCAGTATTTTGTACATCAATTAATCTTAGGTCGTTAGCCCTTTTAACATAATTGTCACAAATATAGTTACTAAGGACTAGTTTAAAATGTGTTTCTATATTAGTATATAAATATGGAAGCCTTACGCTTTCTGCCTGAAACTCCTTATTCAGGTTGTTTATAATTTTTAGTATGTAACTTAAAAACAGCATGTAAACTTTAAGTTCTGCATTACCCATCAGATTCGCCAAGTACTGTGACTTTATTCCATTTACTTCTAAGCAGCATGATAAAAAATACAATTGCAAGGCCTCCCACTGCTCGATAATCCGCGATATTACTGCCTCCAAAGCAAGCCATCTGGTAAGCGATATTCCTAGAATTTTGTGGGGCTTTACCTCACAAAAGTCTTGTAACTCCTTGAAGTCTTTTATACGCTTGGGGCTATATGCAAAAAATTTGTAAACGTTGCGACATAGCTCCTCAATTTGATGCGGAAGTTTTTTACACGCGTAACTGGAGCAAAGGTGCAGGGAGTGGCACGTACATTTAATATAAAATAAGTTAACGTCCGCTTTTAACTTAGTTTTCAATCCGTTTAAACAACCCGCCATAGTGCTGGCACCATCTGTAGCAAGACCCATTAAATTTGACAGAGGAATATTGTGAGATTCAAAAAACAATTTAATCGCTCGATAAATAGATTCGGAGTCGGATTGATCTAACTCAATCAATTGCAAAAAATGATCTTTTACTTTACGCGATAGTTGGTCGAAATATCTTACAACCAGTACTAAGGCTTTTCGGCAAGACAAGTCTGTGGTTTCGTCGACAATTAACGAGAATTTGCTTTTTTGCAGCACATTTACAATTTTATTTTTTGATTTATCGCCTAAAATTTCAGCTAAAGACGTTGCTTTTGTTCTGTGGCATTTTAACGCTTTTGCTATTTGACTATCAGTGCAGCAATCGTATAAAAGACCAGGTAAATAATCGACCAACCGAAAGGGCAAATTGTGCATAATACAGAAAACAACAATTGTAAACTCCGCATTGCGTACCTGTTTAGCTAATGTTGCCCTTTCTTCGTTAACAAATTCATCAAATTTCAATTGGTTTTTCTTCTTTTCAAGGTTGGCGCAATGTGTCTTAATTTTGGCATGCCGCGTTAAATGTGATAAGTTATTAGTTATTCTTTTCTCGCAAGCCACACAAAACGCTTCTCCATCGATTTTCTTAAGCCACGAAAATTGTTGCAGCCATTCCTGCCGGAATTTTCTTCTTAAGTTAGCGCTAAAAAGAAACTTAAAATTGCAGTGCACATATTGCTTTTTCTTCAAAAACTCTACCTTGTCTCCGGGGTGCAACTTTCCTCGATTTCACTGGACTCTTCCTCTTCTTCAGCAGGTTTAGCTCTTTTCTCTTTTATTATAAACCTGAAATAGTTTAACATATTGTAAAAATTTTGCAGAAATCGAATTTAAAGTACTTACTTGTCCATGTCTCTATTTTGCGTGCACTCAAATGGCTTTTCTTAAGAAGTGCTACCAACACTACAGCTTGCTTGAATTAAGCAAATAGTCTGTTCCAGTACCTATCAGATTAACAAGATTTAGTCAGAAGCCGTTCCTATTTTTTTCTGAATACACCCTATAAATCTGACGGTTGCTGGAACAGACAAAAGTTATTCATAAGTTGGTAGGATTGTTTCATATCGCAGCTAACAGGGTTGTAGTTCTTTTTTACAAAATTGAAAACATACTTTTTCGGAAAGTGAATTTTGTGTTAAGAGATTTTCTTGAAGTAATTTTATTTAGATAATGGCCCGTAATCATAGTCAAAATAAAGTCGACTTTAAAGTTAGTTGCAGCTTTTTGACATAATTTTCAATGGGATATCTGTCAAAAAAGCTGCAACTAACTTTAAAGTCGACTTTATTTTGACTATGACTACGGCCAATGTTATTTACCAGAGGTGTAAAAACGTACCAAATCTTGAAGTTACGTACCATCGTATCAAATCAAAAAAAAAGTACCAAAAATGGTACGTTTCGGCCAAATTGGCAACCGTGCCCTCCCTATAAATTGAGCACAAGCGAACACCACACTCGGACACCCGCAGCTAACCCGAAAATTTGTGTAACAATGAAACGGACACCCGAACATTGCGATAAAATGCAGGACAACAAAGAAATTTACGCTGAAGGTAACTGGCGCCAATATGTTCCCACAAAGCATACGAAAATGTTGTTGCTTTGTGCTTGTGCATACGCAATGAAAAAATTAGAAGCGAAGTAGACAAAAATGTTTTTGCATCTATTTCGTATAGTTTCGCGTGGAAAGCTGTGTGTGTATATATTAGAACACAGCCTAAAACTATGTAGGTACATAAGTACTTTTACAAAAAATAAATGTGCACCGAGTGTATAGGGCTTGGGCATTGCCGATCTACACACATTTATACCTAAATGGATGTAGGCGTCGTGATGCCGCATTTTGTATGAGCAAAAATATAAGAAATGGTTAAATGTACACTTAAACAAACTACCGAAAAATTCAACCTTCTCTTTACCCTCTACGCACAAAAACTAAGAACACCGCGATGAGAAGGCAACATTTTTTGTAGAAACAAAAACGTCATAAGCCAATCAAGAAAATTTTGTGCACACTCGGGTTGAAACTCGAACACCCGGGTATATTGAGCTGCAAAGCACCCGAGCCCAATCAAGTATGTATGAAAAGCAATCGGGTGTTGTGGCCAACATGTTTGTCTTGAGCTCAGTCGATAACGAACAATACTTCTGCTCGTATACAGAGAACGATGCAAAACGGGTTTTGTTAGATGATCGAGTATACACGAAAATCATGCACCCGCTGCAGATGTCTGGTCGTTGTCTTTCTTTTGTATGACTTGACTTACAGTGTCGGTTTTAGTCCGATACTGTAGTTGTTTTTGGCTTCGAGTTGGTGGTGGGCTGCGCAGCATACTCATCGCTGAGTTTGATTTGTTGCGATTTGCTCTGTGCTTCTTTGGCTTACCTTGCTTTTTGCAAAAACACTGGCAGGTGTAAATCGCATCGTTTGAGGGCCGATGCCTTCGTATCGCGCGTTACAAATTTTAGCAGATTTTACTCTAAAATTATCTTATAACCGGAGCGATTGGAAAACACATCTGCACGGCTGCACTTATACATAATTCAAAAATACCTAAAAGATAATGTTCTTAGTAAATTATTTATTTACATATCGATGGTCCTGTGCAATAACTACACAATTCAAAACTCATAATTTTTAATTTATTTATACTCAAAAAATATACTCCTTTAAGCTGCCAAAGAAGTGTGTAATACTTTTAAGTTATGTATCTGAAATTTGAGCTTTTAATTTTTTATATGTCCGAATTTTAGTTTAAACGGTATATATAAACCCAAAATAGCATTAAATAATAATAAAAAATATTTATTAATGGGGAATAAAATGGGAATGAAACAAATAAAAATCTTTCAACCCTTATTTCTTGCGAACCGTTTGCGATATCGAAAACGTATCGTATTTAGTCTTTTATCCTTATCCCTAGAAATATCCACACAACCTCTCAAAATATATCACCAATTGCTGACTAACGTTATTTCTTGCAACTATCGTAAATGAAAGTTTCACTGCCTCAAACTGAATGACATATGAATCATATTGCTATAGTTTCCCCGATTCATTTGCGAGAGCTCTGCCGGGTTAAATCTCGCATTTCGCTTACGTGCGTTATCATTTTCCAGCATTTGGTCCACTGGGTGTATATTTCTGCTAAAGTTTTTTGCTGTTCTTTGGTTGCACATTCTTTACACGTTTGTTGTTTTACAAAATAATACATATGTAGGTATATGTATTTTTTTTTTGTTTCGAATTCAATACATAGATATGTGTGTGAATTAAATATTTTTGCGGTTTATTGTTTTTGTAATACAGATACTAGCCTCAGTTTGTCCATGACGGAAGTGCGTATACCAAAGCATATATTGCGGTATGAGAATGCTGTTCTTGGCTGCAAATACGATTTGGATGGTGAATCGCTGTACTCAGTGAAATGGTACAAAGACGGTTTTGAGTTCTATCGCTACGTACCACGGGATATGCCACCTGGGCAAGTATTTCCATTACCGGGAGTTGATGTTGAGGTAAGTATGCTATTTCTTGAAAATATTGTAATAGTTTAAAGAATCAAATTGTTGAAAAACATTTTTTGCATTTTTTGTACACGAGCGACAAAAGAACGCTCAACTCGGGTAAAATTTCCTTTTAGCTACTTAAGCAACCCTGTTGGTATCTGCCATGAAACATGTGCTTAGTTTAACGGAATTTAGACGCAAAAAACGAGAGAATTGAGTAATTATGCGAGGTATAGCCGAGTTGTGTTATTGCTTTGCATGTATTTCATCATTTAAGCGAGTGTTCTTTTGTAGCTCGTATATGTATACACAGAAAAATATGAAATACTCGCTAAACGATGTTTCCACGACAAGTGATCCGCTCTCCTATTCCTAATAAGCTCTCTCATTCGTAATTGGCGCCCAATTACGAACCGAATCACGTAATTCGCCATACAAAATTTTGAGATCAAATCACTAGGGATGGAAAAGACGAGCGCAGAATCGATTCTTGACTTCGGAATCGACTTTCAGGTTTCACCTCTGAAAGTCGACTTTATGACTAAAATTGACTTTTTGAAAATTTGCAAAGGAATGAATACCTACCTCTATTAAGTAATGAACATTCAATTATTGGTAATTATTCAAAACAATTTTATTTTTTCAATTAATTGCACGCGATTTGGCTTTGAACTTTAAAATTAAATATTACAACGAAATAATTAAGAAAACCACATTTGCTCATCTACTGATCGCAAAAATATTAATTCATTTAAATGCTGAGGAGATAATCGGCTCCTTAACTGGTTAGCAATAAGACCGGCATGCGAAAACAACCTTTCACAGGGTACGGAAGTTGCCACGATAGGTAAAAACTTTTTGGCAACATTCCATAGGTGTGGATATTCATATTTCATTGAATCCCAAACAATAAATGGATTAGGGTTTTGCTTACGATTTACAGCTGGGCGTGTTAAGTACTGACGCAGTTGGATTGGTAGTCCTCCAGCTTCGTCTGTATCTGCCTGAGGGTAACTGCAGCTCACAGCACCATCAATAAAGGACCATATATCATCATCATCATCTTTTTTGTGGGATTCTTCTTGAACAGCAATTATATCTTCTTCCTCGTTAATATTTGCTAAATTGGTCGTTGCTTCCAATGCTCCTCTTCTTTCAATCTTAACAAGATCACCTAAGCCGGACAAGTAAAATGAAAGGGTACATTAAATTGTAAAAAAAAATATTTAACTTGGCATGCATCACATAACTTTGACACGATAGTCGTTGAAACGATATTGAAAAAACGATGTCGTCAAAACATTGATTCTTGTATTTTAGTTGCATACTATGGCGTCGACTATCGTAGTGTCGTCAACAGTTTGAAAATCACTACATATATTTTTTTGTGAAACTTCGATATTTTAAATTTAATTAAAATAAAAATTTTGAAAATAAATTCAAGAATTTATTTTTTCCCTGCTGTGTCAATAGCTACTGTAGCTGAATGGATGCGTTTTCGATTAGCACGTTGTTGGTCTCGGGTTCAGTTCATACCCTGCAGTGAAATCCCAAACTAGTCAGAAAAAATACTAGTTTACAACTAGAATTCCCTGATAGAAACCGAACTAGTTCGAAAATGACCAGACTTGTACCAAGTATAAAACGATTTATTCATGCCCTGTTTTATTTGACTTCGACAGTTTAATACAATGAAGTACACAAAATATTATGATTTTTATTTGGGTATATGTATTGGAAACCATTAAATCGAATACGTATTCAATTATACCAGTCCTGTTAAATAATGATTAATATTCATAATGATTATTAATTAAAGCATGTTTTTTTTTGATAACCGTTTACTGATCAAATACCGATATTACCACCTTTTTAATGATTAATAATTAATTACTTAAATGTTAAATGTTAATTAATTCATTAATTTTAGTTACATCATTATTTTGTTATTTTTGATCATTTTCAATCCTTTTTGACTTTTTTTAATTACTCGATTAATATAATTATTTGATAAATTTCTATTATCAATCAACAAGCCAAACTATAGACAACTGCTTGAATTATTTATTTATTTTATTCTAATCCAAATCTCAAATTTTAAACATTAATTATTACTTTTAAAATTGTTTTAAAATAATAGACGGAAATGTGCAAAGTTAATGAATTTAATTTATTTGAATGAAAACTTTTATTTTTATTTTACTTCACTCAAAAACGATCTAAAGAATTCATTTTATTTTTAACTTAAATGTTTTCTTTTGCATATTCAATATTATTAAAAAAGATAAAAATGTAGTATTTATTGTCTAAGGTCTAATTCTTTTAATAACATTTAATGAAAAATGCACTAGTATTTTTCTGTCTATTTTGAACTAGTATGAGACTGGTATATTTCTAACCGAAATCTGACAATTGCCATCTCGTAGGACATCCCCATGTTAAAAATACCAGTTGATTGCA